TTACATATGTTAAAAACACATTAATGTTAAAAACACAAAAATATAAAAACAAGCACATCACTATATGAAATCAACACATACTAATCCCTGCACACCACGTCCAATCTGTTATGTTTGAAGTATTGAAGCTGAGTGTTTTTGACCTCTATGAAGATGTTTTTTGTGAAAGGGTCAATTTTGGTTGTCTGGTGAACGCACACAAAAAATGCACATGCAAACGGGGGATGTCATAAACAGTCCAGCCAATGGTTTCACACTATCCACAGATCTACTGGTGGTAGTAGTACTCCAAGATATGCAGCTAGGTGCCAACAAAGGCAGGAACAAAGACCGCTTCTGTAGTGTTTTATGTATTAGATGCATCACTGAATGCAAATGTAAGTTTTGTTTGTTTACAAGAAAATGTAGGGAAATTTTAGTACGCATTCATACATATGTATCCTTATAATATTTTCATACCGGCTACATTATTCAAATAACTGCATGTATGAGGGTGTACATGTTAGCTTGTTTTTGGAGTGGGCGCTCAAATTGTGAAGAAAGGGAGTTTTGTTAGTGTTACTGTATGGAGTGTGTATTAAACATGGTCGCTACTAAAGCTGTAGTCTGGTAACTTCAAACTTTTCTTCTTGTAGAAAACAATACAATCCACAAATTTTAGTTATCAGACTTCTAAAATGTTTCAGTTATTAAACTTTTAAAGGCAAGGATAGCAGAGTGTCTACATGGAGTTCTTTTGACGATGAAGGTAATGCATTTTTGATCTTACAAAGCTTCAGCAAGGGTTGAAACATTTTCTCCAAATGGCTGGATAATCATTTGTGGTTTGGAGATGGTGCGCAGGGACAATAAATCAATCATGCATTACCTACCTGGCAAACTCATACTGTTTGATATTAAGCATGGTGTCTTCAATTGTTTTGTCCACAAGTGTGTTAACACTGGAGATAAAAAAGTTGATCGCACCCAGCAGTGTCTCTCCATTTTTGGACAAAAGCTTTTGGGTGTCAGCGTTGTAACCAAACTCCTCCTAAAGAACAGATTTAACAAAGTGTCATTATATTGCTGAATTTGGCTTATTTGGCACCGTAGTCTACAGTGACTAAAGCAACTACGAGTCCCAGCATCACACTGTACATTTTGCACATATACGTGGGAGTAATTGTGATTTTTACAACAAATTTTGTTCATCAATTAAACACAAAACTTTAATCTATGGAGATAGTTAGTCCTCACAAATATATATATATATATAAAAAAAAAATGAATATCCATAAGACATTATTAACCAACAATTCCTACAATAAATACACAGCACCACATTCCCACAAGAACATCAACATCCGAGATATAAAATACATACATTTATTTCTATGATGTACAGTAATTGCAATCTATACACACTCAAATATAAAACAGAATGCACTTTGGTATTTAAAACATGGAGCAACATTGAAAAATACTGTAACAAAATTAGAAGACAGAGGAAGTGGAAGAGGACTTAATCTTCAATAATGCATCACTCTTTACTGCCTTTTACGCCATTAACTTCATGTAGTGTGTGTGAGGCTTCAATGCAATAAAAGTAAACAGTAATCTAAAAGGGATCAAAAGTGGGGCCTCAGAAAACATGTTTGCCCAGCAGAGGATGTGAGGATGATAACATACCCTCATAATCCTACCCAACCTGACTGATTTCAGAGTATCTATATATATGGACTCACGTGGAGTTCTGGTGACTTGAGGCTGAGGTCGGCGAAGGCGTCGCCCAGCTGCCTCTGCGTCTGCATCATCTGGGACAGCTGATTGGCCAGCGTCTGAGCCAGCTTGATTACATGCTGGTACTTTCTCTTGTTGTCACGGAGGACTTCGATTTGAGCCTCCAGTTCCATGTCCACGGTCCTCGAGCCCCGGCCCAGCTTCTCTGACAGGATCTGCCGAGTACACTGCAGAGGACGGCAGGCTTATTAACACACACCGATAAAGAGTCTCACTCCATTTAAAATATGACTGCTGGGAGGTTTTACTGTACTTAGTCAAGAGAAAAAAGAGCAGGGAAACTGTGAAAGAAGCAATCAGAGGAACGGAGTGGAGCCAAATTACAGAGTCTAAAGCAAGAGAAGATATCAAATCATTTGTGTGGGTCAGTTTGGGGTATTGCTCACTTTTCTGCCAACATCCTAATAACTGAGAGAAGACAAAGAGGGGGACAAAGGCTGAGAGAAGAAGCAGGGTAGATAAGGGACATAAAAATAAATCAAGGACAGAGGATTACTTTATAAGTGTTGATGCTCCACTTTCTCACAAGGTCCAGTTTTTCCATGGCTGGGTTCTTTAAGTCATCTGAAAGGACCACTGCTCCACTCTGTGGCTGTGCTTTCATTGCGCCTGGACAATTAAAAGTCATTCACTTAGTGAGTGATTACGTTATTGGATTTGCAGGCTTGAGAGCTGTGGTGAAAATTAAGGAGGTACAATTCAAGTGTTATAATTATCAAACAGTGTAATGGGATTGTCATGTTAACATTGAAACTTTAACACAGACATTCAAAGGCATTAGAGGATGACATCTATGATTATACAAATCATGAACATTAAAAATACAATTAGTCATGACTTACCACTTTCAAAATGCTAACAGTCACAGTAAAAGTGATGAAAAGTGCTAATTTTATTGTGGTTTGTGCATAGAAGGGAAATGCTGAAAGATACTGAGCCCCAAAACTGACAAAATGTAGTTAAAGCTTATCAGACAAGTCCAAAATATAGATAAATAGTACACCAATAAATATGAAATAATGCTGTTAGTTAAATAATTAAAATTGAGTATAAAGAGAAACAAAGCCGATCACTCCTGTAGCAGTCCTGGTTGAGCAACAAAAGGAAACAAACATAAAGCTTTATACTTTTAACCAACAAACTAATGCTAACTATCGCTTCATCTTCATCTTTCACTGCTCATCAAGGACCATAATGGAAATAAGTCATGCACTTTATTGTGCCACCATTTTGACTATGTGTGTGACTTCATGGTTATTTTTTCATAATGTTTCATAATGAAACTTCTAACTCTTACTCTCTCGCTTACCAGTTAAATAGGTTTACATATTACAAGAGTTAATGCAGTGATGCTGCAATGCTATGGAGCGTATAGATGATAAAATGATGTGCACTGACTTTTGTAGTTTCATAAGAAGCTGAAACGGCTGGTGGTTAATGTGTTTAGCTACTTGTGTTCAGTTAAGTTTAAATTTATGCCATCAACTAATTGGTGGTAAAGGAAAAACAATAAAAAAAAAAAAAACATTAAACTTCTTTCTTTCTTCTTTTTCTAGTTAATGGCAAAGTCTTTCTTTCTTTTTAAAGTAAATTTGAATCATTTCACTAAAAATGATCTATTCAGTTATATTTCTGACTTGTCTGACAACCTTTCACTACATTTAGTCAGTTCCGGGGCTCCACAGAAAGAGCCTATGGGTGCCAACTTTTGCAAGGACAAAGGTTGCAAGCAGGAAAAACCCACTGAGATCAAATGTGAAGGCAGTTTTTCTTTCCAAGCCAAGCAAATGCTTCAGACATCGTGAGGTTGCATCAGATCTAGAAATCTTGAGATCTAGATCTTAGGTAAATGACTCTAAGGAGTATGTAGAGACGCTTATCATTAGCCACTGCAAAGCAGGAAACTACCTCAGTTAGCCCAGACTTATGCAAAGGTAAAGGTTGGAGAGCCAATAAACAAGAAAGGAGAAGAAGAAAGGTTTGATTCTGAATGGACCACAGCCTGTGGGAACAAGGAGCAGGTAAGAAACTGATGAAAACCAAGAGGGGTAAAATAGACTGCGGTTAATTTAGAGTGCAAATGGTGACTGTTCAGTATCATCTGATTCATACTCCATTGCTGCTGGTACCTGTCTCAGCCTGACTATCGCTGGAAGAGCGTGCCAGGCGGCTAGCAACAGCCGAGCTGGGAGCTACAGGTGCCACGGGAGACGTGGGTAGGCTTGCTGACCCTGGGAGATATTCAGAGTTATGATTCATTAGTATGTCACCATCTCGCCTACACAAGTGCAAAGGGGAATTTCTCATTTCCTGTGCATTTGTTTTAAATTACGGTGACTCTCTCCATGTCGCAGGTCGAATGTGTTACTGCACAAAAGCCTACCTTAACCAGTGTAAATAACATGGAAAATAGCCATGGCAACATTGTGGTAAACGGGCTACAACAGCTCTCCCTTCTATGGGGAGATTTTTATTTGCATTTGTAATAAGGGGCATGATGATGAAAAGGAAAAGAGGGTTACAACCTGGAGATCAGAGGAAACTCATTAAATTCAATTGGATGTCCACCTTTACAAATTCAAATGTCTGCCTTTCAAATTTTAGATTATAAATCCAAAAGTGGAGCACTGGGAATACATTGAAAGAAAGACTGTTTGTAAACACAGAATGCTGCAAAGCAATCAAATAATGTAACAATAAGTTATTGATGAGCTGCTGCTCCGTCACAAAACTCTATTGATCGAGGAAACAGTACACGAACAGAAGGAGGAGAGCAACAGTAGAAATGGGACATGAAATGTTTTACCTTTGTATGGTCCTGATTCAATGATGCCTTCTGTTGTTGAAGCGAAGTTGCTGGAGGGGACATGAGACTCTGAGAGGTTTAGGGCCCCAGGGCCACCGGGGTAAGAGTCCTATGAGAAAATTCAAACATATATTAACAGGTTTAATGGTTCTTGGCTTACAGGCATCAATGTTTGACACTTTCTGGTTCACTAAAATCTCAACAGACACCTGAAACACTACATCTAACCAGTTCACCTGTGTAACAGCGTCCACTCACATAGATTTAGATCAACTTTACAATAAAAGCCATACTGCAATGGGGGGAAATGATACAGATGTACAGATTGGCAGGAGATTGAGGCAGACGTCCAGAAAACGTGACAACATTTAAAGTAACTGAATCATACGTTTAGTGTGGGTGCTGACACTGTATTGTTGTGAATGGTTTATGGGGGGAAAACGATTGATTGTACAGACGCAAACATTTATTTACATTCATGTCATCTTAGTGACGTAAAGTTAACTCATTGTGAAACTAAAACAGTCCACTGCAGCTATAGGCTGCACCGCTGACACACTTACATATGCCTTAACATTCAAGTCAAGTCTGACACAAATGATCACTGTAAGACAGAAAACAGGGCTGATATACAGTAAGTCCCTTGCACGATTTATCAGTGCTTATCCTGTCTGAACTAGTTTTTGAAGAGTGAATGCTTTGAAGCTGCATACATGCTTGTGGCTGAGGTGTATTCCCCGCCATATACATGATAGTAAACTGAATATCTTTGAACTTTGGACTGTTGGTCAAAATAAAAGAAGCACTTTGAATACATATCCTAATGCTATGGGAAATCATAGACATATTTCATAGACAAAACAACTGAATTGATTAATTAAGATAATAATTGTTAATGGATAATGAAAATAATTTGTTACAGTCCTACTATTTGTATTGCCAAAAATATCATTTTTGCAGATTTGTTGCACTGTTAATTTTAATCCAGGAGTGGAGTTATGTTGAGCCAATTTAATGAAATATAATATTCATATTCATGTATCCGTGACAGACACAGACATCATAACAAAGGGTAGCGTTACTAAAGACACCGCCTTGTAATCCAAAGACTTTGAAGGCCTATTCAAGGGTTTTTATTTGGGAAGCCAGTAGTCTCACACTGTCTAAGCCAATTATACAAGTTTGAGATACGCTGCTCTCAAAAGTCTCTGAACAAGCCCTTACCCTCTGGAATACTGTCTCAGGGCTCTGATCCAGGTCTCCGTTGCTGGTGACTGGGATCTCAGCGGCTGAGCTTCTATGGGACTCCTCAGCCATTGTGCTTTCCTGTAATGAGTGCGGCGAAATGAAGCAGGTCATTCTTTAAAGCTTTCCCAAACAACTTCAAAGAGAGAGCTGTTAAGAGAAGAGGACTCGGGATCCACAAGTGGGACACAATAGTTTTTGGCTGCCATCTTGTGGACACAGCTGGGGCACGATTCAATAACACTACTAATACTGGTACTGTGGACTCATATAGTGATAACATGATAGTTTGATTTTAGGGTGAAGGACACTGATTGGTGAATTGTTTTAGTAACATACACTGTATAGAAGAAAAGATATTATCACTGATTTCACCCAAATTGTTCCCCCAAAGCAAACGTTTGAAATAAATACGCCTGCATTCAGGTAAATCCACCCTCTTTTAACTGATTTTTTCATTCATTGCCAGGACAAGATGGAGAGCTTAGTGAGCTTTAAGTCAGTTACGTTGCAGCATTACAGCATTTATCAGGATACCAGGAAGTTATTTTTGCAACAACATCAATTTTCAACACTCCCTTATTTTACAACACTGCAGGATGGAATATGTTACCAAGAGCAATTCACCAGCTTCACTCTTTAGACAGTGTACATATATTCTTGGTTTGGTGTAGTATCGTAAACACACTATCTTATACCATGAAGGTAAAGTGCATAATGCCTCCACCCATGAAGCTAATATGCAAAAAGAGGAATGAACCACTTATCTCTAACATCAGTTCTCCACAGCAAGGCTTTACACAGGAAATGTTCATAGCAAATACAAGATTTTATGTTTTACAGTGACCACATTAAACCCTTTGTGTCATGGTTTATAACTGGTCATTTTGTGGTCTAACTTGGAAAATCTTGGATGCAGGAACGACGCATGGAACAAAATTCTCCACGGCCTTGAATATAATTAACAACCACGTGGACAGTCCTGTTATAATCTTTATGACAGCATATAAATCATGGTCTCTCGTAACCATGGCTGAGGATTAAAATGACACAATGCCGCACCGGCTTGCGCAGCTGCACATTTACATGTTGCCTCGTAGCAAAATGCAGGGTGGAGACAACAGCTTATGGCAACATCAGTTTTGTTTAGGTTGTTATAAACTATCTTCCTGTAGTGGCAGGCTGAAGATGCAGTTGTTATTTTTAGTACAGTTTGTGTGGCCTAATCACTGTGGACTTGAGAACTAGGACACTAACCTGACAACTATAAAGCTTTATAAAGGTCTAACAGCGTAAAGCTTGTTAATGTTGATTACTGACAGGCCTGACGAAGAGGATACGTATCACTGAAAAAACTTTATTGTATTTAACAAATCTGAATTTGCATCCTCGAACAAGATCCTTCGACTATAGGTGGACCTTGACTGGGTCTAAATAATGCAAATAGCTACCAGATCAGGTAACACAATCTGGGTTTAGTCTAAACAGACTGACTTGTTTCACTGTGTGAGCAAAAAGAGTGAGTTTAAATCATGGGTTTATATCAATAACACACTCAATGTAAGCCAGTATGTTCGGTTGTTTTATTTTTTTTGTAAATGATGTTCCAGTACTGGCTAAATATATATTTGATTCGAGTTTAGACTATGACTATGAATGAAATAAGGTTAGTACACTTTAAGTGCACATAAACACAAAGAGATACATACACACAAAAAAAAATAAAATACTTAAATATAAGGACAGCTCCTTCTAGGTAGCAGAGCAGCTCCTTGAAGTAGTATGTGATCATTAAAGAGACAGGCGACGCTGGCATGATAGCTTATTTAAGGACAGGGACAATTGAATCAGACAATATAGCAGAAATAATGCAATCGTTTCTTTAAAACTAGTTTTAATGAAGTCTCTCATCTGATACTGCTTGCATGCTCTTAAAAAGTCAGTGCTGTGTTTGGCTCTCTGAAACTCAAAACATCTTTTTTAAAACCAGAATCTGTAACCAAAGATTTCGGATACGCTCAACCACAATATGACATATAAAACAGACCAAAGTGAAGCGCTATAAAATGATTCCATGTTGTCATGTTGTGTCATGTGACAGACACATAAATACTTAAAGGCCATATGACGCCTGCAGGCAGCAGACATGCACTGCTAGGCTTGTGTAACCGCCCACTGCAGATAAGAGACAGACTCCTCTCTGACACCAAGTTTGAACAGACACGTCTCTGATTACACGCATTACAAAAAAAAAGGGTGGAAATGAAGACCGATTGTAACAAAAAAATGTTGTCGACCTGCTTTGTTTGTGTGTCCAGAGTCTTCTTACATTGCATAACCTAATGGCACTGATTCAGCTGTGGATCCTGGAGTGGTCAGGGGTCTGATCCACCCCGCCATCTGCAAACACTCTGCAAGGAAGCTTGCTAATAGTATCAGTCTACTAACTCGAGCACTGAGAGAAGTGGCTGCAGATCAATCAGGCATATGACGGGGCAAGGTATGGCAAGCCATTGTTCCCTACAGCTTAGTATCCTGGATACAAGCTAACATGAGGAGGGAGGGAGGGGTAACAACAATGAGGTAATTGTCCAATTAACCGCCTCAGCTGAAGAGGAAAGAATCATGTCTTGCTTCTCAGACGACGGAAGAACATGACCCAAGTATGTTGCACAATGTCAGGTTTAAGTTGCAAAAAGGATGGAGAACTTTGGGATTACAACAGTCCTGCATTAAGTTCACTAAATGAAAAGGGTTTACAAAAAAAGAAGAGTTCTGATTTTGTATTATTTCGATGTGAACGTGAATTAACAGCCCGAGGAGTCACATTCCTGCAAGAAATGTGGGACTGCCAGAGAACATGCAGTCAGGAGTGCCAGTCCGTTTCACTTACCCAGCCGTGTGACTGACGTCGAGCTCTATGCACACTCAACTGACAAACAGGGAAACGTTGTGAGGAAATGGTGTCACTTACACATCATGTACACGTCGTTCGCACGCACGCACAGTCAGTGTCCAACAAAAGAATGCATGAACATAGAGAGGTGTACACTTACTGGTTTAACACTATAATAATAGGCATTTGTATTGCACGTTAATGAACAGCAAAGGCCTCAACAATCACTTTGAGGTAAGCCAGCATTTATACAAAGCAGAGAAAATGTATGATCATCCCCAAACACATTAAGACACCTCTCGGTCAGACAAGTAAAAGACAGAAAGCCACTAACGACATCGTCAACGGCTACACCAGCTATACATTTCTAAAACCTCCAGCAAAGCAGGAAATCTGAAGCACTTCTACCATAAATAAAAAGGAAGAAACAAACACAATCACTTCACAGCTAGAACTCAAGTTCCTGTTGTTGATTATATCAGATAAACCTTCACAACAATATTCAAAATAAACTGATGATATAGGAAGGAGACCACCACCCGCAGCAAACAGAGATCGAAACAGCAACAAGAAAAAAAAAAAAAGAGCAGAGTAAGGAAGCGCTAGAAGACGGCTGATTGTCCATAGTGAAGGTAAATATCACCTTTGTTTCAGTGTGCGAATCTCCGCTTTCCTCTGGTGTTTCATCTGTTTCAACAGGATGGTTTGTCCCGTGTCCCCCATTGTCTACACTGTCAGACATGTGTGCAGCGCGACTGTCGCCGCGCCTCACCCCACCCTCGCTCTGAACGAACTCGTCCTCCTTCTGAACGTCGTGGTTCTCGTCAGCACCGTCAATATCAATGTCGTACAGCACTTCGGCCCTGTCCCCGCTTCCCTCACTGTCGTCTACACTCTCCTGTTTCACATCCTCACTCAAACTCTCCACTGCTTTGTCAGCCTCCTGCTCACAATCCATCTGGGGGTCCTCAGCTGAGCTCTTCCCCGATTCAGCCTCAAGACTAACTTCAGACATACCTGAAAACAGACAGATAGGAGGGTATGAACAGGTCCCACCACGCTCACGCTCGCTGACTGTTTACGGTGCAGTCCTGTATTGTACTTTATTATACAATACAGGACTGCACCGTTGACCTGCCCTCAGTTTGTGGCTGTATGTGTTATCATTACATTCAAGTCACAGAGCTAAGCATGCATTTTTTTTTATTTAAGATTGTTTATATTGATATTTATTAAGATAATATTTGAGAATAATAATTAAGTGTACTGGTTACAGCTGTTTAGAGGGTATTTCCTTAAATACTATGCATCTGGATGAAACAATATTCTCCCACTGCTCGATACTACTTTTTACCCCAAGTTGCGACAGTATTTGATAATTACATCTCGCCTTGTTTATATTGTACAACACAAGAGAAATATAAAACACATTACTGTGAATAAAAGTCTAAATCAGTCAAAATAAAATCGATATTGACAATTATAACAGATAATACATGTTTTGTTAGATACACAGATTGGTCTAGTTGGACATTTATCTTCATATTGTGTGTGTATTAGATGCATCTATCCAGTACTTACACCCGGACACATCCACAAACGTACAAATAAATGTAGATAGGCCGATTTAATTTTGGTTCCTGACAAATCAAGCACACAGATAATAAAAGGGTCAATTCCCAGCGACCACCTGTGAAGGGGTTTGACCTGCTTTTGTTACGAGTTTGTGCATCAGCAGTCACTTGAAACATTAAAGCAATCCTCGAATAAGATACAGGAGAACAGAGATAACTGCTGGCAGAGGCAATGAGAGGGTGTGTGCACACTTCAGCTCCGTGCAACCCATTCACATTATTTCCATTACACGACGTGAATGCTTTACCTGTACACCTGACTGTCAAACGTCACCGGAACTGGCGCAGGTACATTACCTGTTGCAGCACAGTCAGGTGACTAGCGAGGGTGCCCGAAAGTCATCAAATGCCCCTTTTTTTTTTTAAAAAAAAGCCAGTAACTACAAACCATATAATGCAACGTTAATATTACATTGTTAAAAGCCAAGCAAGCTAAGAAGAGCAAGCACTCTGTAGTAGTTTTTACCTCCCAGTCAGTCAAGTTAAGTGAAAAAGCTGCTCACTAGTTTGAACGTGTGAATGTATCAAGAGCCGTTGACGTGTTGTTAGCCGACGTAACGTTAGCCGATGACGAACTTGTGTGGAGGTTAAAAAAAATAAAATAAAATAAAAACTTAAATAAAAAGCTTCTTAGGTTGTCTTAACGTTATCTTACTGTTTTGCCACATATGCAACTGCAACGCCACAAGGGAACCAAACTTTGGTTCACATTACCTGTCTGCGGCCGTGGCTAACCGTTTAGCTGGGACCTGTTAGCCGTTGGGAGTACAGCTGTTGTAGTTCTAACCCTCGGTGCCGTGTGCCGCACTGGACGCGTCCGTTAGAAAGGCGGTGGGCCTGCCGTTAATGCAACCGTTGCATAGGCTCTGCTACCAAAATTATCCTCGGCGGTGTCTGGCTCTCCTCACGCATACTCGACTTGCTGAACCCCGGAAAGACTGAGCCACTGTCCGGGCCCTCGGCTGTCATCATCAGAAGCAGCCCACTCGCTGCATGCGGTCTCCCCCTGCTGTTGAACAAGGCCGCTTGCAAGTTTGAGTCCAAAGTCTAGGGAGTGAGTTGTTTTAAATATTGCTTTTGTGACAACTAAATGTATATTTTTAGGTCAAACAAAAAAAAAAAAAAAACACCAAGCAGACAAATATGCTGGTCAAGCCTTCGTCGTTAATTAATTTTTCTAAGCTACAACTACAACTTTCGCCCAGTCGCTTGGTACAATGTGATTTTACAACAACAAACTCAATTTCCCATGAGCCCCCGCGGTGGGCGACGCACAGTTACGTTACGTTACGTTGTAACGCAAGCTGAAGCCTGGCTGAGGCAGCCCTGCTAGAGGCCATATTGGAATCTATGAAGTCGGCTTGCACTTTGATGGAACTGAGTGTCTGTCGTTTTGGGAGTCTCTTAATCGCTACCCCGGATTTAAACCCAAGTGATTGCGCCTGGCATTCCACGTGAGACCCTGCCAAGTCTGGACGGCAAGTTGTCTCGCTTCTTTTGTGGAAAAAAAATGAGTCCAACCGATGCTAAACGAGGGGCTAAGCGCAGGAAGAACAAGCGGGGCGGTGGCAGTAGCTGCAGTGCTGTCTGCAATACCAGCGGTGGCAAGGCCGGGGTTGCCTCGGCCCTGGGCTGTGCGGGAACAGCAACACCTGCCTCTGTCGTCAGCTTTTTAACACCTGGCGGCACAGGCAGCGGGAATATAGGGTCCATCGCGGGCATAAACGGAGAGGTAAGGGTGTCACACAGCGCGAACCGGTGGATGTCAAAAAAACGGGTCGACGAGCTAGCAGCGTTATCAACGACACAAATCTGATTTTGGGCCCGACACTGATGCGAGGAAGGCAGCTGGCTAACTAACCTATGCAACGTAGCTGGAAATTAACTGGCTTAATTGCTGCTAATTGCTGGTTGTTGTGCTTTGCGGGCACGTCCGTGAGTTACACGGCCAGAGTGGCTCAACTGGGCTTGTTTTGTTGTATGAACCTGCCGTAAACATTAGGCTACTTGTGCCCCAAAAAGCTGTGACTACCATCGTTAGCTGAAGTTCAGAGATCGTAGCTGAATTGACAACAACTTAGACACCACGGAGCGTTATTTAGAGCTAATGCAGTCCAAGTAGGTAGAGCCTGAATTGGCCAAACCGAGATTAATCGGGAATACTATAAGGTTTAACACAGTTGGCCATATGCTGCTATTACACAGATAAACAACCATGCTAGCTAATGCTAACAGTGAAGAGTACTGACAACTTAAGCCCCGTCGGGCCTTTATGTGTTTCTACAAGCTGACCTTCCACTTTTCTTGCTTTATTAAGATTTTTCTTACTTTAACTTGGCGGTGTTTGTCAGAAGATGAGCTTAAAACCATCTTAACTAAAGTCCAGCTATCCAAGGTAACTTAGTTATACACCTCGAGTTTGCAATAAACCCACAACTTACACTGACAACATAAGATTTCTTTGTAACTATCTTCTGTTCAATAGCTCAACTCACAGATGCTGATTCAAAAGTTAGTTGGTAGCTATTTGGGGCACAAAAATCACAAATGTAGCTTGAAGATGCACCCTTCTGCACGGCAGTGAAATGTGCCTTCTCTGTGTTTCTGTGTGTATTTAATGTATCGTTGGAGCTATGAATGTAATCAAAGTCTTTAACGCTGCAAATGTGTGTAGGTTTATGATACGTGCATTAACAGCCTGCCTCCTAACAAATATACAACTCCCTTCCTTGGATGTTGGGACCTCTCGATCCATCCATAAGACCCAGAGATGTTTTCCTGTAATTTGGGTGAACTGACTCTAAAACGTCCAAACATCAGTCATGACACATTTTGTTTATACAGCAGTCTTACCTGCCCAGCCTGGACAGGCCTGGCAGGATTGCCTAACAATTGAAGGTGCCTCACACACACACACACACACACAGCTTCAAAATTCAGACCCCTACTTCACCTTGTAAGGATCGGAAATTTGATCCTATGATTCACCTGTTCACCAGGTCATCAGCCACACACCCTTAACAAAACGATCAAGCTTGACCACAAGCAATTCACTCGTAATATCCGTTTTACTAACTGTAATTAATCCAGTAATTCACTGCTTTGTAAACACTGACTTGTTTACATCCCTCAGGTCAAAGTGAACAACAGTGTTACACCACAGTTTACGGAAGGACCAGTGAACGCTGACTTCTCCGGAGTCCTTCAGGTAAATTTATATCAAGTGTTTTTCCGAAAGTTCCTCTAAAGTCAGTGTAAGGTTTTTCTTTTCAAAGCCGTGTCCCATTTGCCGAACATAGTTTACACCTTGAACTTTAGGCATCGCAAGAAGAGGTAGCACACAACAACATGACTTAATTTGGTCTTTATTTTATTGTATAGTTACATCAATGTCACAAATGTCAAATATCATATTCAATTCTGATGCGTTGGACATGCTCCACACACAGGACATCATGCTCCAACATCTGTACTCAAACTACACATCTGGAACATGATTGTGGTGTTGTGGTTGCCCGCCCTTTCAGTCTTGGTGGCACTTTATTTCCACAGCAGTACTATAGTGCTGATAACTAAAATGCAGCTCACTGTCAGGATATAACTGTATTTTGAGTGACTATCATCAAAACATTTTCTTATGTTGTCCTGTTACGCTGATGTACAGACAGATATCACAGTCCATCAGAGTCAAAACAATAAACGATGACACATCTAAACGAGTTTTATTTGAATGTATGCAGGCAGGCACACATTTAAATAAAGCTCATTTGGATTATAGCACAGTCAGGAACTGAGTTTGTATCCCGGTAAATTATCTGTAGATCAAAAAGCCAAAATGTTCTTTCCCAGTGAAATCAGTCTGATTGACAGAAAGTATTAACGTGCACATTACTGAACATGTTTGAATTTGTTGTCCTGTTTACATGTGTCAATAGTTAGTAATCAATAGAGCTGTAACAGTGCTTTTTGTGTGTATCGAGCAAGCTACTTTATTCAGCTCACACGGTAAATCAAATAATCCACCCCATGCCAAAAAATGTGTCATGAGGCTCTCAACCTGGGTACCTTATGTTTTTGTCACCACACCTGGTTGTTTTTGGTATCTTATCAATGCGGCTTGTGTTACGCTGACAAGAAATTACTCTAAATGGGTCAGGCAAAACTCCATTGTTTGACTACAAAGTCTTAAAATATATAATTTGTTGTAATACAATTGATTGATAGAAATGTGTGGTGCTTTTTTGTTGTATTTGATTGTGACAGCAGTCGTATTTAAACAAGTCGTCGGCAAACAATTGGGGGGGGATATTTGGTTTACTGCTGTGCTTTTTAGTGTAGTCAGAAAACACAACTGCTGGATGAGTGAGTAACCCAGAGTACAGATTCAGTCTCCAACAAGCTACTGGTACACCTGTAAGATGTTGCTGAAATAGATGCAAAGCAACCATTGCATGTATTGCATCTATCTTTTTAAAATCCCCAAAGCCATTTTGCTCACTGACAGACACTGCCAATGTGGATGTCATGAATTGAAACTGCTAGTTATATGTCAGTGCCACTCTGTGGTTCACTCACTGACAAGGCTGTGCGTCGAGACAAGGTTCCAGTGTTTTAAAGGAGTCCAGTGGGGGAAACTGGTGTACCCAGAGTGCAATGGGTTACAACAAAGTGTGGCCTGGCTTAATGTATAGCAGATATACTGTAAATATACAGTACTACTACAGTATATACTGTTCCTCAAAAATGAATCAACTCGAGTGAAAACTAATTTTACAGTCCATATCACTTGACATAGTTTGATGTTTATCACACTTCCAAGAAATTAGGAAAGAGATGACCACGTTTATCTTTTATGGACCATTACTTCTTTTAAAATAGCTGTTTTATATAGTAATTACAGTAACCTAATGCAAATGCTGAAGTGGTTGCATACCTAAGGTATATTTTCTCTTCTTTACTTCCTCCCATTTAAAACACTCAACACAGACCCCATTACGTTCGCCTGAACAGCGGGTCCTACGACGGCCGGGATCGCTGCCTCTTATGCCGAGTGATTGAGTTTGGAGATTTTGAGATTGTAGGAGGTTGAGATTGGGATGTTTGAATGGTGTCCTGGTCTGGATCTATAAGATGGTGCCGTGCCTTCAGAGGCAGGGATCACGGGCCATAACGGTACGTCACAGCCCAACAAAACACCCAGTGCCCTCCAGCTGCCTTTGTGGGTGTGCTCTGACTGCAGGCGCACGGTGGAGAAGGAGGACCGACACACTGCTCTGGAGCAGTCGTTGGGGGTAAGTCACCTGGGTATAAAGAATTTGAAGAAGTCTGATAGGCAAATGTTTGTGGCTGTAGTAAATAGACTGTAAGTCCTCCAGGTCTTTGCAGGATTGCAGGATTGCTTAGCACCAATGCCACATATCTGCAGTTTAACTCACACAGCTGTGGTCAGTCTTTCTGTGGACGGTGTAGCTCTTGTGTTCAAGTATGCCAGAAAAGCTACGACAGATGGAGAAACCAGAAGCAACAGCTGTTGCTGTAAAAAGAGAGAACATTACAAAGGACATACTATCATTTCATATTTTTACTTGGGTTCACTTTGAACTAAAGCTAGAAAATAGCATCTAGGTCAAAAATATGCAAATTCTGACGAGTTCTTAAAACCAAGGATGATGCAGTGGATGAAATATTCACTTCAGGACAGAAGTCTATATAGATGTTGGATTTCCTTTACACATCGGAGCCTGACTGTAAATATCCTCTCAGGCCTATGCTGTGTTGTGAAATGCCATGATGTCTAAGACTAATGCCTCTTCACATAAAGAGCTTCTTTATGTTGGACGGGCTGGCTATGTGCTGAGCTTGTGTCTTTGTAAGGAGAGCACCAACTTAAAAGTGGAAAAGTCTTGTGATTCAACTCAGCATTTTTTTCACTGGAATACAAAGTCACTTTTCTTCCTCTGGGTTGTGTTTCTAAGGGTGTGATTATTGGTTGTAATTAATAAGGCCGTTAACAACTCTTTACCACACTGAACTTAAGAGGGAGGGAACTCACCTTTATTTTCTTTTATAGTTAACTGTTTGTTTTTGATGTCTGGTATGATTAAGAATAAGGTATAGTGAGCAGGAAAGTCGTTTATTTGTACTATAGACTGTAAGCAATAGTTTCATATGCCATCACTCATTTTAAAGCAGCATCTAAAGCTGATTATCATTACTGTTTCCACATTCCCACTAGCATTTACTGTGCTGTGCTCTGAGCCTCAAGTAAACTCTGGTCAGAAATAATGTGCAGTCATCTCTGGTAACTGCAATTATCGTTTTAACAGGTAAATTCTAGCTCATTTCACTGTTTGCTCACGGGTAACATGTCTCTGAATTATGGGAAATTTCAAAACCTTTACTCAATCATTGGATTAGGACATTAAAATAGAAAATGAACGTGTAGCACATCATTTCTGCTGGTCCACATATGTACAGTGTGTTCAGTGATGGTTTCCTTACTACAGTGACACATGGGCTCAGAGCCTTACTGACCCCATGATTCTGCAAGGAATACAATTGTTTATGCATTAGTTCACATACATCCTGCTACATACTATATAGTAGTCAAAGTAATGTAAAATCAGAACCTTCTTCTGCACCTCAGGTATTTGTAACGGTAACATTGTCAAGCTGATTCATATGCTATTGATCAGGTATGCTATTTGATTAAGGCTTGTCGGGTATGTCGTCTATCGTCGTTCAAGTTTCCTCCGTTGTGGGTGTGGGTGCCTTGGCCTTGACTGTTTGACTTGGGTTTGGTTTCCTCATAACTGTATTGTTCCATGGCATCCTCGCAGCATGTGTGGGGTACTATGCTGACTCAGAATATCATGGCCCTGTAGTAAACAGAGCCAAACCACTGGAAAGCGTTTACTGTGAAGCAGCTGCAGAATGTTAGCCTGAACAGACAATTTAACACTTAATTATAGCTCCAATCGCTTGGCAATGGTTAGATCAGAAACCAGCAAGTAAGAAAACACGTATCCCATCATGCCATTCCTGTTGTATGGATACATAGTTGGCATTTTGTCTGTATAACTGGTTCTTAAACGGGTGCAATACATTCTCCTTGGATTGGCTGATCCGAGCAACTATACCTGGACTTATGTGACTCATAGCACGTCTTCTTTCCTAGCCTTGTAGCTGCTACAGTGAACAAAGAGAAAGTTATTGTTGATGTCCAACAATGAGCTGAAATCCCCAGTTCTGCCTTCATAAAGAAATATCTTTCTTGGCGAACCCTTCAGCCGAAGAATCAGTTGAAATAACCTAAAATACATATATACGTATTGTATGTTTCATTAAATGCTTAATGTGCATTCCTGTCGGTATGCCCGAAGTGTGTTAATCATATGATGTGCCATTGCAGTAGGTTTTGAACTTTAGACATTAAGACAATCAATGTTTGTGATATGTTTCTTTTAAACTTTGCTCAGTTGCATCTTGAGGAAAGTATAAAGTTGCTGTGTATTCTGCTGTTTTTCATATTTCTCTCAGAGCCAAGACTTCCTTTTGCACATGCCTGTGGGTAACGGAAACCTGGGCCAGGAGGCAGCCACAGGGGACAGACTGACCACTGCTGTGCCTACACTACCCATGCTCCCTGCCCCAGACCTCACCGCACCAATGCCTACTGATACAGTGTGTAGCTGTGAAGCCTGCAATGAGAGACGGTCAGTTCAGAGTAATCACCACTGACGTAAATTTAATTTCAATTTGTTCATTTAAATGTTGTTTCAAAGTGGATGTGATCTTCATGAATTTGCGTCCTGGATAACAGGGAGATTTCTGCTGAGTCAGAGAGGGAGTCACAGCAGCTGCAGAACCACTGGTCGGAGGTTCGTTACCTGGTGCGCTGCATCTACCGTCAGACAGGAACACCACTAGCAGATGACCATGACCAGCCCCTGGAGAGAGACAAGGAGGGCATGAAGGAGCTGGTCGATAGGTATAACTACTTTGTCCTATTTCTCTCTTTTTAGGATGATTGTCCACTAGGGGTCTCTATTGAACTGCAAAAGCCTCTGCGGATGTAGGTTTAAAAAAAGCCCGAGAGCCTTTGAAAGCAATGATGTCAACAAGCTGAAACTACTGCCTTCTCTACTGTAATTGGTCAGGTCAAAAGCCCCCTAAAGTGACATCTTTGTTTCCTTGATATGATGTATTTCCTGTTGAAACAGGTTCTCGGGCTGTTCTCTGACTCACTGACGGAACATTTTAAATAGCAGAGCAAGGGGAGATTAAGAGACAAAAACTGGTTTATTTTAGTTGGAGTTTTTATTTACGCCCACATGTCCAGTCTCAATTTCACATTTTAAAATGAATCTTTATTTTCCTCCTGTAGACTCTGTGAGAAGGACCCCTACCAGCTGTATCAGCGGTTGGAGCAGCAGGCTCGTGAATACGTCTTGGAAATGAAGGTGCGGCTACTGAAGCACCTATCTACAGGTCCCAAGACTACAGGACCAGTGGGGACCATGGCTGCAGCACAGGGCCCCCCTCAGGCCTACCAGTTCATTTCCCTGCTGCTGGAGGAATACAGCGCCCTCTGTCAAGCTGCACGCACCATCAGCAGCTTCCTGCTCACCCTGGTCAGTGTACCTTTTGTGTAGCCGGAGCCACAGAGAGATACTGTGTTAGCTGTCCTCCAGGTGGCATCAAAGGCAATTCATAGCCGTTTTTACTCCATTTGCTTCAATTAACAACGTGTTGTTTTCTCAGGAGAATGAGCACCTCCAGAAATTCCACGTGACGTGGGAGCTGCACAACAAGCACCTTTTTGAGAATCTGGTGTTCTCTGAACCGATCTTGCACAGCAGTTTACCTGCACTGGTTGCACAGCTGAAGTAAGATATAGTTTTACAAGTTTAAAGAAACGTATGATGAGTTACTTCTCCATCATTATCATTTAATCTGCTACATTGTTTTCTACTGAACTGTTGACCATATTGAACACAAATTCTGCAAATCTCTTTCCTAAACCAATTACAAGTGTCCTTAATAACCTCTGTGTCATATTCTGCATCCATATGTAGACATGGCACAGCCTCCCATGATTCATACAATGAAGATATGTACAGGACCTTGTTAGAAAGCTACCAGCAGCTGCAGCAGGAGATGGCTTCGGTGGCTTCTGAATGGCAGGAGTGTGAGAAGAGGATTGATGACTATGTAGATGAACAGGTATATACATCTAAGACAAAGCATAAACACATTTGATACAGTAAATGAAGTACTTTTATTAAAAGGCCACACTTGATAAGTACGCAGTAATTAAAGCTCTGAGGTGACTCTTTTGCAGCTGCTTTTTAAGGTGGAGGGTCAGAGTCTCACCAACCAAAGAACAGAGCCACACAAGTCCTTGATAAGCAAAAACGTAAGAGCCTTGAAAATTATACCCGAACACAGTCAACTTTTTTAAATCTTATTTTCAGAGGTTTTTTTTTTTTTTTTTTCATTTATTGAAATTCATGTTCTTTTAATTATCTTTCTAGACTTTGAAGACTAAGCAGCGAATGCTGAAGGAGGACTGGGAGTTCTTTAAGCAGAGAAGATTTATAGAAGAACAGGTACACAACTAGAATATGGAGCCATCATGGCAGATGAAAATGTCTATTTCTGTGCTTCAAAGTAGTTTTTTTATTTTGTTTTCTTTATAGTTACCCAATAGCAAGAAGTCCCCCACCGGAGAAAACAACTTCACAGACACTATGAGAATGCTCTCATCTCGTCTGAGTATTCCAGACTGTCCAAACTGCAATTATCGAAGAAGGTGAGTTTCCATGATTTAACTGCTATGTAATTTTCTGGCCTGGGATCATGTCACACTGTAGTAAATTTACACATACTAGACTTGAAACAACTGCCTTTACTCACATTTTTGTTTTTTTTAATCAATTCTATCAGGTTTGTTGTGATCTCATGTCAAATGTTTTCCAATATATGAAAGATTTAATTCCCCAACTTTGGGTTGTCAGGGAATTGATCCCTCCCTAAATATTATGCCCACGTCTCACCTAATCAGTGAGCTGAAGTTTTTTTATGTTCTGTGTATGGATGTGTTATTAAAATAATTATCCAAAGGTAAGGCCACTGTGTGCTCAACTTTAACTCCTTGTCCCATTTGGCAATACTATTTTCTCTCCATACAATTGTATCATGACAAAAATCGCCTTATAAGATATCATGGTTCTGACTATCTGTATATAAAGAACCCATTGTGTACATAGTGTGTTTAGGTCTGTAGCGTATATCCTTGTGTTTAAGACAGAGTGAGCCAGAGCACAAGAATTTCATTGTGTTTCTTAAACACATTAGCCTGGGAACCAGACAAATCTGCCGAGTTCATGATGTAATTTGCTCTGGCAGATGCGTCTGGCCACCTGTCCATGCAAACAGAATTCTGCCCGTCCAGCATCTGGTTGGGCCAATCACAACTGTTTATTTAATATGGGGCAGGTTTTATACAATGATTGACAGAGAGTCACCGATTTGGAAAGTCGCGTCATATGTTTCGCTGCTCTGATTGATCGTAGGTCCAATTGCATCCTTTCTGCAGGCCTGTCCAGGGCAACACACACAGGCTCACGAAACTCAGATCAAACTGTGTGTCAGCTGTCCAACTAGGCAGTGCTGGTCAAATACAATCAAGATTCTTTTACTGAATTGCCTTTTTCTTGCCTCAAATGTTTTCAGAAGCACATTTTAGTTAACAGCCTTGCTGTAATTTGAGACAGTGTGTGAGCAGGCCACCATTTTTCCTGCTTGAATACGAGCTAAGCATCCTCCATTCCTCTATTTGGTTGTTGGTCTAACCTATTGCGTCTGAAGGAAATTTGGTCTACGCCCGTAAAACTAAAATGAACTGAGGTTCCATACTAATTAGCATTTGTAAATTTGTGTGGCAATGCCAGACTAAATACATGAGAATTTGTGTGATTGAACAAAACACACACAAATAATTTGACCCCAGGGGATGAACATTAGTTAAACTTTTCACTTTTACCAGGTCATTGTAAATACTTCATAACATATGAATATTGATAATTATTGCTTATGAGTTTTGTCCGTATCGTCCACTCCTACCAACAGGTGCACATGTGATGACTGTAGTCTCTCCCACATCCTGACGTGTGGCATCATGGACTCTCCCATTGCTGAGGACCTCCACATCAAGCTGCCCCTGCAAGGGGAACCTCCCCGCGACTACCTGGCAGAGGTGCACCCTCCCAGTCTCTCCTCCGGCAGTTCAGCATCTGGCTCCAACTCCAGTTCTCCCATTACCATTCAACAGCATCCAAGGCTCATGCTCCCTGAAGGGGACACCAACACTTTGTAAGCCAGCCAGTCCCTTTTAGGCACAGTTTGGTATTGTGTATATATCAGTGAGATCATAATTACGCACCTCTTCCTTTAAACAATAATTTTCCTCTCTTTCACTTCCCTTTAACCCGGCTACTCATTTCTGTCTTGTTTTAGTATTAGCGATGATGACGAAGTGCCTCCGTTGTCCAGTAAGTTTGGGGACATCTACCCTATGAGTGGTTATGAGGATAACAGTGTTGTGACCGCTGCTGTGAATGGCCTCCATAATGACATCAATGGGGAAGGTGAAAACGTGGCACTGAAGGCAGGGGTGAGTTCTGTACTGTAGTATGTAACTTTAAAAAATGCCCAAGACTAGTTGTGAATTTCCCTGCCGAGTTTCTGGATGATGAATCTGATGTTCATTATGAGTAGGTTGCCCGTTGTTCGGGAAATGTATTGTATACTGTTCCTCATCTATTTCCTAACAGTCTTCTTTGCTCAACACATTTCTGTTTCAGTCTCCTCACATTACCAGCAGCAGCAGCTCATCAGAGGGTGACGAGGAGGAAGCTGATGGTGAGGTTGGAGGGGAGTCCAGAGGGCAGCAGGAGGAGATTTCCTTAGGAAAGACCAACAGTCCTCCACCTTCTTACAACCACCAACAGGTGTTAAAACACTACAATACGCTTCCTTTGTCATAAGTGCTTGAAAATGTTGTGAATGAACCACAGTTAATTACTTTTAAGTATGTTCCCGTAATTCCTAAAAACCTGATTCTTTTTCATAGCAGTGGAGACATTTTGGTTTAGAGGTCATTTTGAAAGAAGCAGCTGTTTGGGCTGTGTATCAAACCTCAAAACTTAAGTACAGACCAAGATGTGCCCGCAGTACCAAATCGAGTAAAGAGAGCTAGCATCAAATGCTTGCTCTGAATAATACTCTACTTGTTCTTTTACAAAGTTTAATTCAGAAAAACTTCTGGTGTTGCTTACGTGTAGACAGTTTAACATTTAAGAAGTTTGGCTTCTTCTGTTAAATGGAAGAATGGTTTGGTAGAAAAACATGTCTATATTTATCAGTAAGATGTTATCAAAAAGTAATTTTGGTACTTATACCGAAACTAAACTTACCATATTGGTGTTATGTTTGAAAAAAATTCCAACGGTACCTTTCCCCCAGGGCTGCAACTAATGCTAATGTTCATTATTGATTCTTCTGTCATTAATTGTTAGAAAATAGTGAAACAAAATGTGATTGCAAGGTGATGTTGAATTGTCTTTTTATTTTGCTGAAACCCTGAAAATGTTCAGTTTACAATTTCATAAAACAGTAAAAAGCAGAAAATCCTCAGATTGGAGAAGCTGGAACCAGAACATGTTTGGCTTTTGTGCTTGAAAAAAATAACAGAAATGATTAACTGATTATCAGAATTGTACACACACGCCCCAGAATAACAGCAGACAACCTGTTTTGAATTTGTGTTACCACTCTCAGGTAGAACAGGTCCAGCATGCCTGCGAGTGCCACGTGTGCAACCAAGACCCCAGCTCCTCCACCCTGGGTCCCGCCACATGCTTGCCCCCTAGTCGGCTCCACGCTGCACCTCCTCCCACTGTTGGACACCAGTTCTTCACAGACAGCAAGACCCCCCCTGCCCACCCTGCCCTCCACCTCTACCCCCACATCCACGGCCACCTGCCCCTACACAACTTCTCCCGGCCACTACTGCATCCTACACTCTACCCTCCCAGTCCTCCTCTCACACACAACAAGGTGAGGATAATTCTTGAGCCCATACAGCGATAAGACGTGAATTATTTCCCTCTTCTTTTTTACAGTGTGTAAAATTATTGCTATGAGTCTCTTTAAGGGAAAATTGATTCATTTCCTTATCACTGGGGATTTTTTAAAGGTTCCAGGAACAACACTGAGCTTAGTTGCTTTCTAGTTTCACTTAGTTTCAATGTAATTTTAACTGTCAACCACAAGGGGTCACACTGAACCCAATCTAAGAGTTAAAGCACTGCTTTTTATGCTGGCTTAAATCACAAACTAATGACATGATTTGCTTTTTAATTTAACTTTTCTTTTATTCCTTAAGCCTCTGCCCCCAAATCCTACATCAAATCACTCGGCAGCAAAGCAGCCGGCCTTCAGCCCATCGTTACCGGAGCACGTTTACCAGAACTGCTTTGGCGGTGCAGGTGGAGCAGGTGACTGGAACAGCTCACTGCAGTGCCTCTCGCTCAAATTTGAGAACCTGTGGGACGCCGCTGTGATGAAGAGCTGGAATCCGTCTGTGCTGTTGCCTGAGTCCCTGCCAGGTGAGCCACTCGGGGCGCAGCAGAAATGACCATCAATGAAAAGAAATCTCAGCAAGTCAAAGAAAGAAGGTTCAAATCATGTCTCACATTATTTTTCCACAGGTGACATGCTTGGACCTCCCCTCGCTGACGTCCCCCTCCCTCCAACATCATCTATCGGCCCCCAAGGGGAACACTCCTCGCTGCCCACCCCTGTACCCGCTTCCTCCTCCACCTCCTCGTCATTGTCATCGTCGTCATCATCGTCATCGTCGTCGTCATGCTCCTCTTCAGAAGCCAAAGAGCAGAAGAAGAGTGGCGCCAAGAAGAAGTGTCTCTACAATTTCCAGGATGCCTTCATGGAGACCAACCGAGTGGTGATGGCCACCTCTGCCTCCACGTCCTCTGTGTCCTGTACTGCCACCACTGTCCAGTCAAGTAATAACCCACCCATCCATCTAGCATCTAAAAGACCCAACTCTTTAGGTAATATAGGAGGTAGGAGCAGTGATTAGGTTTGTACTGATGATAGGGCTTTTTTACAATTAAATTATGAGCCACTTAGAAACCTAGTTATTACAGGGATGTGACACCCATTGTTAAACAATGAAAATGTTTTGCTTTTTAAAGTTCCAAGTGAGTTGTACGATTTTCACTCTCTTGGAGGACATGATAACGCTTGTTATTCATTAATTGCATTACTTTAGCAAAATAATAATTCAGTTTCTTTGTGATTGTAGTATAGTGTTAACTATATGGACCTTTTAATCCAAGAATGATAGGATGTGGGAGGGATGCATGATGTCGTTTTTTAAGTTTTGAGTGTGTTTGTATTAGGGTAGTTATTGCATGCTTATGTGGCTTGGAAAATGATTTTCATCTATAGGTGAGCTGCTGCACTAATAGGGCAATTGTTGTTACTGTATGTAGGTTTGAACGCAGGATTTAATATTAGCATTCACTGTAGTGGTTGCAGATCTTCATGGGATCTTATGAAACCGTGAGGGAAAAACATAATCAAAACTAAAAAGAAAAATGCATCAATTTGGTAAAAACAAATGATAACTTATTAGTCCTGCAACCCAATTAAATGAATTATAAAATAAACATTGAACGATGAACTAAATAACAATAATACAAATAAAACACAGTTCACAGCAATCAAAAGACAGACAGACTGACATCATGAAACTAGATGCAGTCCGTCATAGTCCTGCTTCAAAGTTGAACTGAAATTTATTTTCTCTTCCCTATTTGTGTGAGGAAATATAAACTATAATTATAGTGCAACATAACTTTCCACTTTTCAAAAGAGGACTTTATAGTTTGAACATATTTGTGGAAATGGCATTAAAGATTCGGGCCTGTAGGTGGGCGTTTCTCATGGCAGACTGACATTTAAGGGCCAGTGACTGGACCATGTTGTAGCCTACAGACGAAGCCCACACAGCGCTGCTCCTGCACTGTTAGTGATTTAAAATGTCTGCCACATTTACATCTTTAAACTTGCTTAAATTAGTAAGGCATTAGAAGCTAGGGGGAGCTGTCACTGCAGAAAAATAAATGAAACTTACATTTTTTGGGGGAATTTGCCAATTTTAAGTACACAAGAACAAACAAACATCAATTTTAGTTTTAAGTACAAGATTGCTTAAAATTACGAGTGCTAGTCACTTGGTCGATTGTTTGAAAGCTCTGTGAATAACTGTATGCTTTTAAAGAGTTGGATTTGGGATTGGGACACAGAAGAACTCAACAATGTTCTCATCCAATGTATCTTTGTCTCCCCTAGACGATGTATTTCACAATCTAGGTAAAGAGGACCATAGGCAACCCGCTCCAGCCACCCCTAGAAACGGCCCTACAGGATTGACCTCCCTCCCTCCGCTCTCGGGCCCGACCCTGCCCCCAGCACCCACCACACACCTTCCCACAATGGGATCCCAGCCCTTTCCAAAGATGGCTGCTCCAGCCCCAGACTTCATGGAGGCACACCAGGGTTTGTGTCTCCCGCCTGCTGAGCCTCCAGCCTCCTCAGCAGACGGTCCTATCAGCGCCCCACCTAGTGTCTGCAGGTGAGACCACTATCACTTCCCACAGGCTCATAAAGAAGGACACCCTTCAATGACTGGTTGTATAAAGAGGTGATTTTGTTTGTCTGTGATAAAAGAATAAGTGTAAGTATAATTTTTTTTCAGTGATCCTGACTGTGAAGGCCATCGCTGTGAGGGGAATGGGGCGTACGAGCACCAGCCGTACGATGGAGAGGAGAGTCAGGACGAGGACAGCTGCTCTGAGCACAGCTCCTCGACCTCCACTTCCACCAACCAGAAGGAAGGAAAGTACTGTGACTGCTGCTACTGCGAGTTCTTTGGGCATGGCGGGGTAAGAGACACACATTTATTACTTATTGGAATTTGCATGTTTTGTGGCAGATGCTAATTATTAATTAAGTTCTTATTTGAAAGTTCATTTTAGGTTCAAATTAGAACAAAATAGACATTTATAGGTAGTAAATTCATTTTAAATATACATTTACATAATGTACACCAAAACAAAAACTGAAATGCCATTAACAGTCTAGTGAATCATTTGAATAGTTTATTAGCTTAATGTAAGAATAAATAGTATCCTTATTGATTGCATCCTTCTCTGTTTTGTTCCCAGCCCCCAGCTGCTCCTACCAGTCGAAACTATGCAGAGATGCGGGAGAAGCTGCGTTTGCGTCTGACAAAGCGTAAGGAGGAGCAGCCTAAACGTGAGGAGCACCAACCCATAATAGAACGAGATGGAGGGGTGGAGGACCACAGGCGGGTGGAGGACCTGTTGCAGTTCATCAACAGTGCTGACAGTAAACCTGCCTCCAGTTCTAAGGCAGCGAAACGGGCCAGGCACAAACAGAAGAAGGTAACTGTCACACTAACCTTCAGTGTATATCCATCCAGTCTAAAACACAAAGAAATCCAATAACTCTATTAGTACTTAATGCATGGGTGTTTTTTGTCAACAACTAGGATTGAAAGTTGTCATAATGCTGAATGTCTTTGTGTGCTTCAGATGGAGGAGAAGGCCCGTCTAGAGGCAGAGGCCCGTGAAAGGGAGGAGCAACAGGTGTTGGAAGAGCAGCAACGGCGACAGCGGCAGGAAGAGGAAGAGGCAGCGCTTCAAAAGGAACTGCTCCGGCTGCAGGAGCTGCAGCAACATCGTGCTGCCAAGAAGAAAAAGAAAGAGAAAGCGAAGGAAAACACTGCTCCCCCTCAAAACAACCCACAGCCCCTTAAACAGACAGCTCAGAACGTCTTAGATAACTTACAGAATGGAAAGTCACAGCTGCTTCAAACCCTCATCCGCCTCCCTGACCAGAAAGAACCCAGATTTAAACCCGTACCCCGGCCCAATACACTGCACAGCCCAAAACACACGAGTGAGATGGGGTTTTCTACTGAGACCAATATCCCCAACTGTCCAGCCGCCCTCCACAACGGCACTTCTACATCTCAACTTGAGGTCAACAGTAAAGTTAAGGCCAAGCAGTCTGCTAAAGTGGCCACTTGTGAGGCTGCTGTAAAGAAAGCCCCAGAGTTACCCAAGAGCTCAGATGTGACAGTAAAGCTAGCTAATGGCACCACTCCCACCACTACAACAGACACCAAAGCAACCCGGATCAGGCCTGCTGAGGCCCTGGCTCCTCTCCAAACCACTGAACCAAGGAGAGAGGACAGGAGTAATATCAGGAGCGCCAGTGGAAAAAGGCACCAACAGCAGCAGCAACAACCGCTCACCCAAATAAAGGAAGACAGGAGGAGTCCACCTGTGTCAAACCCTTCCCCGTCTCCCCCTCCAACCTCCCAGTCTGAGCAGACCCAGCAGAATGGCAAACCTCCCAGTGCAGAGTCCCCACAGCCCAAAGGCAAGACCAAGAAGAACAAGAAGAAGAAGGGGGACAAGATGAACAGCTCAATAGGTTAGTATTATGATTCACTAGTAGATTTGAAAGATTCAGGTGTGTGTGTTATCAGTATATGTCCTGTAGTTTTGTCTTAATCTCACTACTGACCAGCTTTACTGCTGAAATAATTGGTCTGCATCCACAGACATAATGCTAGGTGAGGGGAATATGAACTGTGTCCCAAACAGAACCCTTTGACCAGGGACAGCCTGATCTATTTCCTCACTCGTCTCTTGGGTATTCTGCGGTATAACCACAGTGTGGTTAGTGAATGTGTGCACTGTGCATATGACTGCTGGTATTTATGTCTCACTGCCAGAAGCTGGTAATATAGGGAGCTGCTTATTGTTGCCTAACTTTGTCATAAATATTGGTGTTGCACACAATCTTGAGTTATGAGAAAATATGTGATAGACCATTTCAATAATCAATACGGCACTTCAGAGTTTGGTTATGTTATGATAACGGACGGATTACTTGTCAATCATAAGGTAGACACGACCTGCTTTATTGTCTATTTTACACTGAAACTAGTAACTGAGACCATAAACTGGTCACTACGTACAATGCAGGTTTAAGACAATTCCGCTTTGGCTTCACTTCAGACTCGAAAGCTCTGTCTATTATATATAGTGTCAGTGGGCGTTTATGGTCTCCAAGGCTTTTTTGCAGAGCACATTGAGCTTGACTTGTGTGTCACATTTCAAGTCAGTCGGGCTTACGGTGTGAGGGCCATGGCCTTTCCCAAGTTGCCTTTTTGGGCCTTGATTACAGGGCTACCACGTGGCCCATTGGGATCATGTTTCAAGCTAATGCACATCATTTCCAGTTATGGGCCAAGTTTAATGTTTGTAGCTCATTCCAGCCAGGCACAATAACAGTTGGGTTCTACTGCTTTGTAGTTTGAACCCTAATATTGAAATGGGAACATGTCCATATTATGTATTGTTTTTTATTTTTTTAGATGACGTATTCTTGCCCAAAGACATCGACCTGGATAGCACTGAAATGGATGAAACGGAGAGGGAGGTGGAATATTTCAAAAGGTACGTATATTAAAGTGACTAACTTGCCCTGTGTGTGTAAACAATGTAGGTTTTATAATCATCAAAACTGTGCTCTTTACTTCATCACTCCATTAAAGCAAGAAAACATTTATAGGAAATTAGATGTATTTGTTAGGTCTTAAGGATAAACAAAATGTTTTCTGGTGCGTAAACTTGTAAACAGAATGTAAACAAAACTGTTTGTTTACGGCACCAACTACTCAGAATTGCCACCCCCAGCCGGATATAACCATTCATTCCTTTCAGTAAAGCAAGGGCATGAATCTGTACATGAAAGCTCTGCAGTTATCTTTAACATTTAAAACAGACAGGATAGTTCTCCAGAAGGTTAATGTTTTTGTTTTTTCCTGCAGGTTCTGCTTGGATTCTGCCCGGCAGACCCGCCAACGGCTTTCCATCAACTGGTCAAACTTTAGTTTGAAGAAAGCAACGTTTGCTGCACATTGAGGGTGTTAGTGAGTGACTGTCAGGACACAATCAGTACCTTAACAGCTATACCAACCCACACGGCTCCCCAGACCCATCCCTTTACCTCCACCCAGCTGTTGTCCTCCCAGAACTTCTCTCCCGCTGTGCCCAAATCACACCCACGCTGCCTTGCTTTGTTCTTGTCACTGTGTGGTTCCAACACAGACCCATCTGGACTGATCCACCTGCAGAACTAAAACAAAAATGAAATTAAATGACACAAAAAGAATCACAAAATGCTACTTTACATCTGATTAATTTTCCTTGCGTGCTTGTGTGCTTTTAGTCTGAGTTGGGCATTTCTCTTGACTGAAAAAGCCATGGTCTGAAATTATTTTCTTATTTTGGCTTACCTGTAGTCAGAAGATGCTTACTATGTCTGGATGGTTTCCTTCCAAAAAAAAGAGACAAAGGAAACTACAAAAAAATGAGAAATGTAATGAATTAAAAGCTGTATTTGAGATATTGTGGCTTACTATCCCATCGTTTCCCGTTCCTAGCACGGCATCTCATCCACATGATTGACAAGGGAATGGGCTTGGTCAGCTGGTCTCCACTCCCTTTCCCCACCCCACCACCACCTCCTCCTCCTCCCTATTTCACAGAAAGGAGGAAAGCGTAATACTTGACAATGTTCTTTTTTGGTTTTTAAGTACTGTTTAACAAACTGTTGAGTAAAAGTGTACCAGTTACAGTTTTTGTTTTCTTTCTTTTTGACCTGTAGCCAGCTTGTATCAGAATACTTTCAGAATGAAATTGAAAAAGAACAATACTCACACTATCAATCTGTTATAGAGTGTATATTGTATTAACACTGAAGCCAAACTGGCTACTTTTAACATATTGTTAAGTAATATTAAATCTTGTCTTTCTTTTTTGAAAGATGGAATACAGTAGTATGGCAGGATTATGTGTCTTGTGTCAAATCTTATTTCCTACATGCTGCCAATAAAAGGACATGGAGACTTAAAACTACACACATACATGTACATTTGGGAAATAAGCTCATTTGCCTTCTAGTGGACAGTTAGATGAAAATATTGATCCCACTCACATATCTGTCCTTCAGATATAAGCCTACATTTAGCAGCCAACTAGTTCAGCACAATGACTAATTCTTACACATTCATAATCAGATTAAACAAATAAGATACAGTCTTGATGGGTGAGCTGTAGAGGTGCTGGTAGGCAGTTTTTGTTATCGTTTACAGTTTCTTCCTGTTCCTAGTCTTGGGAACTAAGCTAAGCTAACCGGCTGCTAGTTGCAACTTCATATTTAACCAAGAAACGTGAGCATGGTATTGAAATTCTCATGTAACACTGCAAGAAAGTAAAAAAAACTCATCTCACAAAAAGTCAAATTAATGCTGAATTTAAATTGAAATTATCTAAAGCAAAAGTGAGCGAATCAGCATCCTTCACCACAATCACCACCCTTTGAGGTCAGTTCACTTCATCAGCCCATATGGGACTGATGAATAGCTAAGCCAAAGCAGGAATTTTACCCATTGTTGTTCTGCATGTCTGCGGCTACACAAGGTTGCAGGATGAGTCACACCCTCAAATACGTGTTCCTTTTGGGAAATCCACTAATGGATAGTCATAATCAGTCTAGGAGGCCACAGGTAAATGAATCATGTAAATCCTGAGGTTCGGTTTCTATTGTGAAGTACGTTAAACATAAAAAAGGTAGCTGCCATTGGGCTGCGTTAGGTATTTACATGTAGCCCCGTTTCACATATGCACATGAAGCTCTAGGGAAAATTGATTTCAGGCAGTTATGAAATCAAGTACATTCCCTCAGGGTAAAGTGAGTGTGAAATGAGGTCATGCGTTGTCTTATCTAGATAGATGACTTAATACATACCTTTGAGTGAACAGTACTGACAGGACAACGTGCACATCGGCAGCAGTCAAAGCTTTTGCTTGGTGTTTTTCCACTAACTTTGTGACATCTTTGTAAGCCATCAATGCTGCTGAGCTTCTCTTTCTGTCATATAGTGCTAAAATATTCTTAATGTGTAACTAGTGGGTTAAGGTTTGAGAAAACTAGGACCTGAACTTGAGTTTCGAATTTGGACTTAATTTTACTTGCTAAAGCCTAATTGCACATCTGTTTGCACAAAGGGTTAGGATTTCCAACATTTCAGGATACAGAATATTCACATTTGTTTCATTCTTATTTAAGCATAAAACTAGAATGGAGTTTTAAGCAGCTGTTTGTGCCTTAAATGCTGTTAAAGGTCCATTAAAGATGAAGTTCATAGGTAATGTGAAGAGGAAGTGACAGTTACCCAGTGACTACTTCCTCTTAACTTTTCCAACAGTGACTATTTCTTAAAACTGTGGGATTTCACTCTGAAAAATTACCACTCTTACAAATTTGATGAATGAGAGAGTTGTGGTGAAATGTACTTCATACAAGAGGAGTACCAAAGGTTTTGGTTTGTGAGAGCCGGTTGTGACTCATAATTTATTTCAGGTATGAATGACTGCCTGGCTGTTTGTAGAGCGGGCTCACCAGTGATGTAAGATCGGATCTACCGCATTTGAGAAAATGCCCCACAAAACTATGCTAACGTAGACAGGTCGAAAACACTGCAGCAAAATGTCTGACAGACAGACAGACAGTCGTGGGACATGATCTAAATAGAATGACACAGATTTGTGTTTTCTGATACATGCAGAGATAAGAGCCACTTTAGTCAACCTCTTCCCTAAGTTAATAATAGATATATAAAAGTCACTTTAATCAAATTTCCATCACGTGTCCTTTTCAAAATATTTCCTTGATTTGACCTTTGCTGTAAAAATGGTCTTGGTGGGTGAAGGAAAACACAATGGTGCACTCTGAGCAGTCTGACAATGACAGGGGCGAGCGCCAATAGGATTATTAAAAAGGGATCACAGCTGCCTTGTAGCTTGTAATAAGAATGTTGATCTTTTCATTGTCAACTGCCCGGAGCGTTTCAGGATCACATATACTTCTAAAGAAGGGAATCCCCCCCTCCTCCCCTCGTTTCCTGGCTACAATCTGCCACAATGCTGCTTTTGATGACCGAAAAACCCTGGACTTCCTTACCAAAAAAGCCTTAAAAACACAGTCGGGATTGATGCCAAATACTTCAGCCAACATGTACGTTGAATTAAAATGATCTGCTCAAGTCGACAGCGCTCCATTTTCAAATAAACTTGCCTGCTTTTTTTTGGGAATTCCCTTGTGATGGCGGGAAATTCCCATTCTTTTAGGATACACACAAGATTAAAGGCCGCATCTATCCATTCTGTATTTGTCTGGATAAGTGTCAGGCTGAAGTTCTCTCCGGTTCTTAAAGTATATGACAGCTACATCGGTACATCCTGATGCTTTGAAACCTGTGTTTAAGAGGAACTAGTCTACCGCTGTCACCTGACTTTTCTCATTAATTCTGTGTTTCTTAGAAAAGTTCCCAGACACTCAGGTGGGGATTTGTGACCTATTTTTTTCCACTCTCAGATCGGTGGGTAGAGCGTTTGTGTGTGTGGAAGTTCAGTCACTTATAGACCCTGTTTTAAGTAAACGCGTGGGGGAGAATCCCCAGTTGACAGCTCGTGGCCTTTTCAAAGCCTGTGAGTATTTCTACCAGTCTGCATGTGGTTGGCTTATAGACACGATATTGAAGTTGCCCTTTAAAGCCAAATTTGGAAATAATCATTCTGTGCGCAAATGAATTGGAGCCAGGCTGCTTGTGTTATGTAAATGCAATAAATGTGTTAGAAACTAATTCAGCCACAGACATATCTTCCCCAGTTAGCTGATGAGTAAGTTAGCATGTGATGCTGCCTGGTGTCATTTGAATACTTGGGTCTATGAGCCAGCTTTCAAACCAATTCTTTTTGTTTTCAGAAGTGGTCCAACACTTCTTATTTTAGGCATCTAACGTAAATAAAACTTTAATTCTGGGTTTGGTATAAAGATTTTAGATTTTCATTAAAGGAATTGCTTTATATTGTGGGGACATTGTTTATTCGCTCTCTGGCAGAAACGCAGGTGAGAAGATTGACATTTTTTAACGCCTATTTCCAGTCTTTGTGCTAAGCTAAGCTAACCAACTGCTTGCTTTGGCTTCACACTAACCATACAGACATTAGAGTGGCATCAATCCTATCCTCTAACCTTGGTAAGAGAGCATGTTTGACAAAATGTTGAACTTTTCAAGTGAACATGTTAGACATCCAGAAGGGGAAGTATAATATATAATAGTATTTAAAGTGTGACTTTGTAACTTCTGTTGAATATTTCTCCCGTAAATGAAGTACAAGTAGAGAGAGTTTGCCAACATTAGCTAATAATGTTCATACCAGACCAAGTAAGGCTGTAGTGATAAAACCCCTGAGGAGTTTTGAGTACATTTTATGGATTTAACGTTTCATTTGTAAAGAAGAATATGTCTTTTTCATAGTCTTGCTTTAAATGAGCCATTATCTGATCAACAATGCAGCAAAAGAGCAATGTGTTCTCACTCACACACACAAAGAACAGAGTTTGGCTACAGCTCTTCTATGCACTGCAACTATCTACTTCCTTTTAAAACAGGGGATGTCCAGCTTCCTGTGCTTACTACACCAAAACCCATGACAACTGATTCACCAAACAGCACTGTTGGCCTGTTTGTGTCAAAACGATACTTCACAGCGACTCAGTGCGCAGTGTTAAAAGTTACTAACTGATCCGCAGGCAGTTATTGAGGGTTGTTGGATGTAACTCGAGCTGCCATCTTTCACTGGTCTCCTCAGTACCCCTTGTAGTGTTTGCTTCAGCCACACAACAGCTGGGAATATGGCTGTCACAGTACAGCGTGCCCATTCAGGCAACGCTGGGAAGGGGTTTTCCACCCTGCACAAGCACATACACGTGACACAGACGGACACACACACACACAAAAGACATGCAGGCAGACTTAGATTAAGTAGCGCCAACATTTTCGTGGTTAGGCTATGATCTGTGTTTACAGCTCGAGGCTGCAGACTCAAGAAGCAAAATACACCGCGCAATAATGAAACATATTTAAAGCTATATAAATCATCATAAGATAAAAAGTATGGGTAAACAGTCTTTTATTACAAAAATAATGTGCCAGCTCACGAAGAAAAACACAGCACCAGATCTCAAAAAATAAGCATATTGTCAGTTGGGATGCCATCTTTAAGTACAGTTTCAGAAGTGGATCTCAGTGGAACATTTTCCATTTTGACTGCAACAAGAGTTTGCCAGAAATATTTCATGGCTTTAATGGAAAAAAGGCAACAAAACATTTGCCTTTTTCCAATTATTTATGCAAGAGAATAAATATTAATAGTTAGAGATATATATATATATTTTAAATCCATTATTAAGAATATATAATTTACAGAACAGAAATATGTAAAGTTCAATCAAAATCACGAAACAACAAATAGCACCACATTGTCAACTAGATGTCTAGACCCAAATAAGAAGCTTATGCATCATGAATCTCTTAAAAAAAAAAAAATCGTACGATCTCTAATATTATATTCTTTTTTGGGGCTAAATGTCAAGAAAGTGCAACAGGTTTGTAATTTGACACATTGAGGTATTTGATATTTGATATATTGCATTGACATCCATTTCCCCCACCACAATAACCTCCTGCATTGCCACGGGAGAACACGAAGAACGCGACACTGGATATACAGATTTAGAAAAGGCCTGATGAACTAATTTCTCTTGCAACAGGGGAACTTTGGGTTGTACAGTTTTGCTTCACTATGTACAAACATCTCAAGTCAGTCGTTTCATTTGTCGTCAAGTCTCTCCGAATTGGAAACTCCACTCAGGTTAGTTTCTGCCGTGTAGTGCTGCTCTTCAGTGTTCAGTTACTGTCAGCGAGAGATAACTGTCTTTTC